CAATTTCTGATCGGTGCCGATAAAGACGCTGTCTAGAGCCAACATCCAGTAATCAGAGCGTGGAAACTGAGTGAGTACCTTGTTGCTATTATGCTGCAAGGAATAACCAGCTCTGTGACGCAACTTTAGGGTCCATATTGGTAAAGATTCAGTTTGCAGCACGATACTTAACGCCACTGACGTACACACATGGAAGTAACATTGTCATTTATGCATTGTAAATAAAACGTCTGGCAAAAGATAAGATCATTAGCTTGATAATTTTGATTGCAATGGTTTCACACAACATGATGACATCATGCATACTAATAGTTGTTATCAGAAACGATTATTATTTTAACACAATTTTATATATTTTATGAGACAATACTGCTTTTATTAACTTTATTGTGTGTTATTAACCTACCAAATTTATTACCATTAAAAGCATTTTATTAAATAACGTTATTACAATGACAGTAATCCTTACGTTAGATTATAATTAAATACATTTTAAATGTTCCTAAGCACTAAGTAGTGGTAATGACTAGAGAAAGTATATTAACAACTTGATAACAGTCCGTTGTAAAACGAAAATTATATTCTGAGGCGAGTGCCGTTAGCTACCTGTCTCGCCGCAGCGGTGGATGCGTGGTGCGCGATCGCAGCTCCGCCAGCAACCGCGACGCGACGGGCGACTTCTTAGAAGGCGATAGTGAGCTGTATTTTAATGTTATCGCTGTGAATACACCAGTGCGATAAGTCCACTTGTTGCGCATGTGACTATTCCACCATGCTCTTCTCGGAAACAATCGTGAAGCTTTATCTAATTACCTAGTTAGTTAGTTTTGCTGCATTGCAAGTCAGGTAAACATTTCGTATATTATTAATACATAATATATAGATATTATTTACTATTGACTATCTGCATATAGACATTTAGCATTAATAAATAAAATAAGACGGAGCGAGTAGGTACCTCGTTGATAACATCGAGCACGGTAAGAACTTTGAACGTTCGTTTGTCGTAATTAATATAATGTACCTAATTAAGGAAAATAATGCATAATATCAAATCTTTGTGAACTAATGAATAGATTTATTGAACGCTTATTTCAATATATGCAAGTCTAAAATAATTTAATTATCGAGCGCCGAACCCGCTAGGCTTGTTTACGCAGACAACAACGGCCTTGCCAAAGACGTCTAAAAGGTTATTCCTTTCGCCATGTCTATGTATACACATTTATACGTATGATGATAATATCGACGTTGCACGGATACACAACATGATGGAAGGTACATAACTAGTTGTACGTACTTATGTATGTACATAATAACATAAACATAATTTGAGAACATTTAGCTTGCATGTACAACTAAAATAAGTACGTAAATATAGTTACATCTTCAATTACATGTAACATTCAAAGTATAAATAAATTGGCTTAGAAGTAGTATAACATTAAAGATGTTCAACGTACAAATAATAATAAATAAAACCGAAATCTGGATTGATCTTGTTTTTTAAGGAAATGACAAAAATTCTATTATGATTGGTAATTTGACCGTAAGATTGGTAAGTTTGCTTATATTTCAGGAAACCAGGATAATTATACTTTGTGGTAAAATAGTACCTACGGAACTCAAACTTCACACTTCAACAAGGAGAATTGTAATAATTAAGTATGTTGGCCACATTTGACGTTTACGACTTGGGTAGGATAACAAGTGGTTGATAAACTCAATGGTTTGTTTTCATTCCTTCGATGAGAGTGGATAAAGATCAGTTTGTATTTACCTACATGTTAAATAGGTACAACTTTTTTTTAGTAGATACCAAGTTTGCTATTTTTTTTTCTAAATATCTAAATGAAACTTATTGATCGACGTATTAATTATATGCTAAATGCTTGTTACATGGATTTTTTATTTATGCAATACTTATAACTAAAGTTTTAATAAGTCGTTTTAAGGTTTAGTTTATATTCGATAACAAGTATACAGATTTTAAAAACGGTTGAATGAACTTTGGGCGTATTTTTTACTACCCATTTCATTCTTATTCAGCGCAAGGAGTTTCTCTTATTACGCATTCAAAGGACGACATTTAAAAGGAAATATTGAACGAAGACTTGTCAATTTGATTGTTGAGCAGGTACATGTATCTATGTAGGTAGGTGCCTAAACACTGGGCACATAATCGTCTGTCATTACCGGGAACACTTCACTACTTGTTTCTGTTGTTAAAAACCATTCTCATCAAGCTATATTTTTAAATTAAATACCTCTTCTAACACTTTAAAACAAATATACTTAGGTACATAGAGTGCATGACCCGAACAGGTACAACGTTCAGGTCAAGAGTCAGGAGGAAGGTGTGATGCAGTGAAGCTACTGGGCCTGATAGCGCCGCGTTGGGCGTTAGCCAAGGCAATTTGCATCGCTACCCGTTTCGGAACATCGCCAAGTCTAGCCGAACAAAACCACAGAGAATTACCCTCCATTCCAATAATAATTAAAGCAAACATTTCGCAGCCGAGACGCACGTCGACGGACGTTATGGAGCTTATAAAGCATCGGCCCCAGCTCGCAATTAAGAAACGACGCGCACGTCTATTTACCGACACGGAAGAGACGCACCGATTGCAATGGTCCATCGCGGTATGCTCCTGCAGCGGCGGCGGCGAGAGCAGAGCCAAGCGCCTGCCCGTCTAAATTAATACCTTTGATATTCGAAATATCAATATTTTAAGGGAGCTTATGAAGTGCGTCGTTGTAGATGTAACATGCAGGCCTTCCGTGTTGGCAGTCCTAACGCGCTCTAACGAACCGAGTTAAACGGGATACGTATATAAATCTTGTGAAGTATTTTCCTAGCAACAGTGTAAGATAATATCTGAATTGGAATTAGCGATAGTATCTATAGGATACTTGGTACATGTTTTGTTATGATAACACATTCGAAAGCTACAAATACAAATTTGATAGCATGCTTTTTGGCTTAGTAATTTGACTACATAAACAATAACATCATATTTACTTAGTTCTGATCATATAATAGCTACACAGGTAGACTTTATTTATGATGTGGCAAAGCTTTGATGTCGAGTTGGCTAACTTCCACGCACAACGAAGTGACTAACGCCGAATAACGTTATGGGAACCTGGGAGTAAATAAAGCAACACCATGCTCCTATTAGAGTCCATAATAACAAAGACAAGATAAGGCTACCTTACCCCGCATTGTAGGGGGTATTTACAATTAAGCGCTTGTTACCTGCTAATTAACTGTTCACGCGAGTTCCAAAATATGCAATCCGGCCTTTAATAACAAACAAGTAATTGAAATTTTACTACGCATTATAATTACTTAGGTATTATTATAACTTGTCAACATTGTCATCGGCGCAAAACTAACCAGTTATTACCGATTACTGATATAAGTAATTTTATTTATTTCACACAAACAACAGGACATCAGCCGAATTTTTTCATCAAATATCGAAGACCCAGTCTATGCAATATCAAACTTCAAGACGCAATTTCAAGACCTAAACGTCTCAAAATGGATAAACAGCATCTTATCTCCTAGGTATGGAAAGAGTTTAGCTATGAGGTACAATTGTAAAACGAAAAAAAAACATGTTTCTGTAAAAACATAAACTTGAAAAACTAAAGTACCTACAAAAATAAGTCATTTAATTTAATTAAAACCTATGAGGTGACCAGAAACATGTCTAAGGCGGTTGAAAATGAAAAGAATTAACTTCTTAATGGTCATCTAACCTCATCAGGAACAGTGATTGCTGTTACTGATGAGGTTAACTAACTAACTGTAGAAAGGTCGAAATTATTATAAAGCAAACCACAAGAAAGAAGATACTTAAAATAAAAGAGGTACGGCTTTTACGGTATGTATAGTTAATAGTTATTCGTGTCGCAGACAATGGTCGGTACCTTAACAATTATTATAAAACGGCAATGAAATTCAACATCAAGCACCTTTGATTGCGGATTTTGCAAACTAAATATTACTCTAATTGATATTCTATATGATTATATACAAGGTAAAAAAATTCGTAGAATATATAACGGAGGTGTACCTACATTATAATGATTAACTTGGTCTTATCATGTTTTATCTTTGTACTGACGGCAGGTATACCGCGATAAGATACCAAATGACGACAATGTGTTGTCAATAAGACGGGTTCACAGTATTAACTACCCTTAGTTCTGTGAAGGTAGCTAAAATTTCAAAACTATGAGGATTTCGACAAAACAAGTCACACAGTTGAAGATATCTAAACACATTCCCTTTGTTTGAAGAAAGTAGGATTATTTCGGCCTTATTGCTCTTAATTCTGTTCAAATGTGGATGTAAAGGGATCATGACCCGAAACGCAGTAAAATTACATTTCCTTATGTGTTCAGTGTATTGGCAGATGCTACTGGCGAAAATGTTCTATCTTGTATAATGTTGTGCATAATTATGTGCTGAAACCATACAAATTCAAGTTGCCGAGCCTTTGACTTTTCACAATGCAAAGCAATGTTTTACTACGGGTATTTGAGCCTTTAAAATTTTACAGTGGTCAACAGACGCTACGGGTCTGTTTTGATAGCAAATACATATAACATTTTTTTATTACTGGTTATGTACCTAACGCATCCTATGTGTATACAAATAATTAGCTGTAGATTAGTGCAAAATAGAAATATATGCAATTTACTTATTACCCACGCATCATTTATTGTTATAAAATGATTGACAAGCTGAAATATACATAACATATTGAAGCATAACTCTGAGTCACTAGAAGGTTGTAAGTAGGTACCTACATATTAGAATACTAGGTAAAGTGGCGCGTAGTTGGTGTTTTTCTTTCCACATCATTTTTATATCTAGGCGCTTTTACTTGAACAATGGTCAGTATCAAACTTACCATTATTAAGAAAATTTCAAATGAACATGTAACAGCATCTTAATAAGAATTAAATATTCTGATAAAACTTACTTAAGATAATATATCTGTCCTTCTGGTGTTCGCGCCTGTTCCCAACCAGGCGGGAGTGGGCCGAGATCATCTGGGATATGTGTTCCAACATCATAAGATCTCTGTTTTGTGTGCTGATGGTGTAGTGGCGGTTGTTGATTTTGTTGTCCAGCGGCATAAGTTTGTTGCAAACTCGCGGGTGACGAATGTGCTCGAGAGTGCGACACCGGTGAGGCGCCAGTCGCGGACGACGATCCGAACGCCGAGTCAGCCGAGTTTTCTCGCGAGTGAGACACAGATGGCGACTTGGAACCGGTTGACGGCGGGTTAAAGAACGACTTTGGAAGCTGTCGCATTCGGAGAGGCACCTGTAGCGGTCGTTTCGAGTCCGGCTTAAGCACTGTGTCGAACAATGATTGTAGAACCGAGTCAGAATCCTGGTCCACGCGGAGGACCAGGTTCGATTTCTGTTCAGCGTCCGAGTTGAGAGCCATGATTTACGTCGGAACGAAGAAATCTCGAAACCGACCTGGCCCACCGCTGTGACACAACACTAGCACGCGACGGGCTGGCGCGGCGCCACCCGACGTTCTTACAATATAGCGTTCGCTACGCGACTGACGCGCGCCCCGCCCGCACCGCAAAATCTCCCTGCCCACGCGCACCCGCCGCACCACCCGCGCTGCGCATAGTATGTTTGGTGCACGGACCGGTCTCTGCTTCGAGAATGATGCCCCTCACCCCGCTCACCCACTATCTCCTTGGCTCACCATAAAATATACCTAATGCTAGCCATCTATAACGATTGTGACTGGAGAGCAAATTAAAATTATTGTTCATTAAATCTGTTTATTTTTTAACACTAAATAATGTGGTGTAGGTAAACTAAAGCTTTTCATGAAATCAAGGAACCCACCAAATAAGCAAATCTGTATCCGATAAATTGTACACTATAAAAAAACTGAAAATATTGTACACTGTATTGTCAGGAAGATTTGCGAGATTCATTTATTTATATTGTAAGGATTATTAATTTAGTCCTGGATACGTAGGTAGCTTTGGAATAAAACAATCTTACTCAACATAGGTAAGCCGTATTAAAAGTTGATTGAAGCTCTAACTTAGTAAGGAATTAAAAACATTTTTAAATTTTGACACATTAAATAATAAAAATAATTAATGGAGGAAATATCAAGGAGTTAGATGCTTCATAGTTTTCGTGTAATAGTTATGTTTAAGTTTTAAGTATTTCTTGTTAAATTTTACTAAGATGAAATAAAAATAAAAAAAAAATCATCAGAGGTGTCAAAAATTGTCTTTATTGTTTGAAGACCTAAAAGTAAACCCAATACTTCGTACGTTTTAGAGGGCTGTTATCATTTACGTTGCATAAAAATTGGCATTATAAAACAAATGAAATAAAAATATAAGTATCTAATTTAAAAGCACATTTGCGAACAAGGTTTAAATTATTGACTGATAATGGTGTTGGGGAATTAAGAAAGAAATAACTCTAGGGTATATATTGATAAAATGTGTGTGATGTACTACAAGTTAAAAGACCTAAGTCCTTTTATGCGTATAGGTAAAGAAATTAATCTAGTCATGCTACAACGGCAACGCCATCTATAATTTTTTTTCAACCGTAATTGTTGAAGTTGACGTAAAAATGATTGTCCCGTTATACAAGTTAGTTCCGTTGTATCGCCTTAGATGGCGTTATAATCGTTATAAAACTCCCTAAATTCCTAATGGCAAAATGAGTCCTTGGATCGGCAGAGGGTAATCTAATAGGTACATCATAATTCAATAGGTAGTACACAGTATAAAACAAAGGGCTTTCTCTATCCCTATGTAGGTATGATTAAATTCTTATAAATACGCAAAAGATTTTTGATTTGAATTCAATTGATTGAAGAGATCAGTTAAATAGGTAGTAGAGTATCAGCTTTGCCCTCGTACGAAGACAGGGCGAGTCGCTAGTATAATAAAATTAATCTGTAGAAAAAATAATAGCGCTGATGACTCAGCTAAATATTTTTTTAATTTAATTATCAATATAACGGAGCGTCAACAAATAATTATAGGTTCTTTCATTACCAGATTACCACACTAGCTAATTTAAGAGAGATAACATGGCAGATACGCTTCCTGAAACAAAAATTCTACCATACAAAATTCATACCTTCTTTATTAATTAGGTAATTTACCTTTACAGACTATACTTAATTTTATCATTACAAAAATTTTTACATCTTTCCATATTATTGAAAGGAATTGAGGAACCTATAAGTAGGTACCGATGAATACCTATCAATGTCGGAGAGCTCTGCCAGCGTTTTTGATAATATCATGCTTGATGATACAAAACTTCCTTTACGAAGACTTATTTCTCTAATACAAACGTGTTGTACATACCTAATTAAGTTACAGCAGTTCGTTATTAAATAGGTAGGTACCTTATTAGTAGGTTTTACCCTACTAAGTTAATGGAATACTATAGTATGTATGTATTTGCAATGCTAATATAAAATTATTTAAAAGAACTTCTTCGACATAGGTACCTATATGAGTAAAGCAGTGACGAGTTTGCGCAGTAGGTATATCCCGCAGTAAGTATACCTTTAGGAAAATATCAATAGCGACGAAGTATACAAAACTAACATTGGTATCGCTATCTTCCACCGCGCATGCGTGGTTAACACGCTACTGGATGGTTGGTACGTCCAGAAAAATCATTACAGTGCATGCATTATATTCATAAAGAATAGAAACAGTGTCACAAGTATGTTCGTAACTATTTAGTCATGACGGAAAGATTGGAAGACAGGTTTGAAAGATGTTGTCGCCTATGTGCAGAAGAACAAGACGTAACCATAATGATATTTAGTCAAGAAGCCGAAGCAATGCTTTTGCGAAACAAGCTCAACAAATACTTATTAATTGAGGTAAGAAGTGTGCATGAGAGTTTTTTTTTAAAGTTTAAGTAATTAAATTGAAATTATTCCACAGGTTGACGAAGACGACAAATTACCTAAAAACATTTGTATCCAATGTTGTACCAAGTTACAATCGGTATGTGACTTTATAGACACGGCGCGAAAAGCTCAAGAAGTTCTTCTCCAACGAAGTTTTATGATAGACCAGATAACTCCAAACAATTGTATGATATCGTTAGTCAAAACAGAGCAAAAACTTGAGCCTGTTGGGGTCGTCGACAATGAAAAATATACTGAAATGGAAGTGAGCGTGGATCCCATGATGGTGCTTCAAAATTCTGAAGCCACGTTATCACCAGCTTATGATAACAATGTTAACGACGTAACTTATTTACATGGTCTGGATACTGAAAATGTAACCATAAAGTTAATAAAGAAAGGCGAAACACATACTTTATTGGAAGGCAAGGCAAAGGAAAAACCTTCTAACTCATCAGGCTCTCTCAACAGTGATGATGATGAAAAAGTGAAACCTTTTAAATGTTCTTCATGTGAACGTAGCTTTTGTACTGATTTGGCATTAAAAAACCATAATTGGATTCATCTTCCTGAAAATAGAGATGAAAAGCAATATACCTGTAATACATGTTCAGAAGGATTTTATTACAAGTATGATTTAATATCTCATTTGAAAAAGCATAGATCCAATGGTGTATGTCAATTATGTGGAAGAATGTAAGACTTTTCAATATTTATCTTTTGAATTTAAAATGTGAAATGAACTTAAATTTTAACTTAACTTTAAATGTCCACAGGTTCAGATCAGAAAAAACTTATGTTGCTCATATGTGTGTACATTTACCTTCAAGTAAATCCTATACATGCAAAGTCTGTGGCAGATCATACAATACATGGGGTGGTCTTAAAACGCATAGTGTTACTCACAGTGCAGAAAGACCATATAAATGTGATGTTTGTAAAAAAACTTTCAAGAGGAATCAGGATTTAAAAGTAAGAAACAGAAATCAAAGATTTACATAAACTGAAATAATGAAACCTCCAATTTGAAAAAGACATGAGGATGAGGATTATTGTTTTTTTTTTGTCATGCTCATATATTTATGCAACTGATTTGTTTTATATTGTTGCAGTTTCATCTCAACCAACACACCGGGGCAAAACCTTACAAATGTCCATTCTGTGACAAGTGCTTTGCAAGTTCTGGAAATTGTTACTCTCATAGAAATCGTATGCATCCTGGTGAAAAACATGAAAGGTCTCTAAAAAGAACTATTCCCACAGCGGATGCTCCAGTACTCCGACCAATTGCTCCTAAACCAAAACCTGCTGAAGGGCCTCCACATAACAATATGGCCACTGTAAATGGTGTGGTCAAATTTAAATGTCACTTATGTGATCATAGTTTTGTGAAGAAAGAAAACTTCAATGTGAGTACTATAATTTCATAAAATATTTTCAATTCACATTTGCAGGAAAGGTAAATGAGTAGGTACCTGATTTACTCGTAACTAACACTATCAATTTGGAATTCACCTTTGAAACTCACTGCTCAGACTTTATTCTTTGAAATTGTTAACACCAGATCAAACATGCATTAAAGTGGCTTAACCATGCTTAGCTATTTATAATTAGTAAACAACTTGCCTTTATAAAGTTTTAATAACTTAATCTGGCGATCCACTAAATTTGACATGGTTGTACAAAAAGATATAATTACTTACAGTAAATGATTAATATAGGTGCATGAATGAATTTAAAAAAGGCTTATCATTGAGTGAGGCTAGAAGAAATCAAAATTTGCACTGCACTATTGTAAAACCAGAAACAATAACAATTTAAATTATTAATCCAACTCTTTTCAATTAATTACAGTACCACATGTATCAACATACGGGAGAAAAACCTTATAAATGCACTAACTGCACAGAAAAGTTCGTAACGAGAAGAGGGCTACTGATACACCACGACAACAAACATCCTACAGTGAATCGGCCATTGGGACTTATCTCTAAAAATAGTTTGCTCAAATAAAACTTATATTTATTTTCACATTTTAAATAACAATAAACGCTTACTTTGTTTCATAAATGAATATTGTTTTATTTTAAAAATGATTACCGATAGAAAATGGGAGACTATGTTGGTCTTTACAATACAAACAAAATTCACTTGTTCCGTTGTTTTAATCAGTAAGTAATGCTTCTTTGGTGTTATTATTCTAAGTACAAACTTACAAGAAACTTACAGGCAACAAAATTTTACGAGCATCGCAATTTTCAATTTTAAATTTTGTCAGTGTCATTTAGTCTAAACGTCAATTTAGTTTCGAGAGATTCTCTCAACCATTGAGATAGAAAATATATAGAGGCGCTGTGTTACTATAGAAGTATACATGCTTATACAAATATGAGGGAAATATGAAACAAACTATGAAATATCATTTTGTCTCACTCTTTCTAAGGCAATAATTGTATTAGACAAAAGGGACAACAATATTTAAGTTGTTGCTTAATATGGAAACAAATCATTTTGACATTAGCAAAGTTGTAGGTAAGTGCCATGTCCGCCATCTTAAGCGCTCAGAGTACCTGAGTTTCATGGTAGTTGTCCTGTCAAACGGTTGTTTATGTTTTAAATTATTGCGGTTTTTCAGTAAATTACAAAGAACCATTTTTTTTAAACTTCAAATATATATAGTGAAACAAAAAAACAATATGCCTGTGTGTTGTATTGTGCAGTGTGGTGCAAAAAAGAACGAAAATCAACCTCAATTGTCTTTGTACAGGTTAGTAAACAGTTTTCATCAAATATTACTTTGAATAATCCACATAGATAGAAAAAAATGTCACGGATACTTTAATCTATTGCCAAAGTATATATATTTACTTTTATTTCTGTCTGTGAGACAGTTTTAGAAAAAAATTGTTGTTTACAATAATATGTCAATATGGCATAGTTACGTACCATTTCACAAAAGTATCGATATAATCTCCCATTTAAAATTCAACATATATTATACTAAATAATCTATTTTAACAATGGATGTTTCCGCAGTTTTGTGTAACGCTAAAGTAAGACGTCAGTATTTTGGTATTGGTTTTAGTTACATAAGTAGAAGTTCAAATTATCATGTTTTATAATTATACGGGCGCGATTGACAGAGCGGCGTTGGCGACGATCCCAGTGCGACCACCAAGCGTAATAATAAAAAGTGAGATACATACAATAAGATTGACTTCACTACATATCTATTTTGTGCTAACGTAGTTTCGAAGATATCATCGCTTAATCAGACGCGCCGAAATTGTGCGCGAGCACTTCACAAATACCCACAGGTTTTCCACATATATAAAGATAAACATTTAACATTTTAACAAACACTATCTTTTTCTATATCACCATTCCATTAAACGGTGTTCATAAACACAGTCCTATTTTTTTAAAATTCGACTTGAGAAAATCATTAGCCAATCAAGAGACCAAGTTAACCCCGGGTTAACCCCGGGGCTCTAGCTAGGCCGACGGCAAAGTAGGAACAGGAGTTGATTTTAGTCAGTAACGGTCTGTCCCGAAAAAGGCCGGAGATGACATTAGATGATTTCCCATAAAAAAATACCGTTAATCAGCTGGCTAAACCCTAAAATTATACCTACGTAGAACTTTTACTCAAATTGTATCGATACTCGTTAAATACTTAGTCGGCACAACCCTAGCCACGGCAGCCATCTTATGCGACATTTTGGATTGTAGGTAGGCACCTTTTTTTCGTAGGTATTTCAAGTCCATATATTTCCTATGTCAATGCTCTCAACCAATCCTAAATATTTTGGCACGGAACCGGGAACACAGGAAATGTGGTTATCAGACAAAAATTAAATTCAAAGAGTATGTAACCACTACGTTTAGTTAAATTCAGCAGTTAGTAATTTTTTATGTATAAAAAAAAGCAGTAAGCTGTACCTAGTCTGTGTATTTCGCAAAGAGAAATAAAACTCAGTGAAACGTAACACAAGTACAGCGCCATCTCTTAGTGAATTGGTTTACTAATTTATACAAACTACATAATACGGGTTGTAATTTTATTAATTTTGGATCATCGATGTTTTGGATGGTAAAATTGGATTGCGTAAACCGATTTTATTAATTTATTGTTTGAATTTGAAAGAAGGTACGTTCAGACTAATAAAATATACAAACATTTTACACTAAATTAGTTCAGTTAATTTCAAAAATTAACCCATCGAGTACAAAATAATTTTCTTAAAAAATCTTTTTAAAGATCAATCTTGACATTGTTCCATATTTTCGAAACTTATGGTTCAAAAGTTAGAGGGATAGACGCACTTTTTTAAACTTTTGGCGCGATTATTTCACTTTTACACTATTAACATAATCAAAAAATGATGTTAGTAAACCCCTATTCATTTTTAAATACATATCCAATATATCACAATGACAATGTTGAAGAAATTCTAGATTGATGCGTACAGTGCTTAGACCATAGATTGATCTAATTCATTCAAAAGTTTATAGTGGAGTCGTACAAAATATAATATTATATAGTGTCAATATCATTTAAACGAATGACTTTTCAAAGTATTAAATTCAATGGTCTAATGTAAAAAGCCATGATTTCGAATCTTTAAAAAGGTGTTCTGAATCACTGACACTTAATGTGTGAATGTTTTTTTTACTAGATTTACATGTGTGAGTGGATAATACGTAATTAGTTTTTTTTTAAATACATTCTAGTTTAGTTTATTAGAGAAACGTTTTTACTTTTTGACACCTAAATAATAACAAAAGTATTCTTTTTGGTTACAGTAGCAGGTCGACCTTCAAAAATGACCTTTAAACTCCACAGTCAATAGGAATCTTATGCGCATGCGTAGATTATCCGTCAAATTTTGTTTGGCGCGCTGATAACTACGACTACTTTGATCACGATGAAATTACATATTTTAGTCATACGCCAGATACCTCGTACAGCTCACGTTTCTAACATTTTCTTCGGTAACTTAATCACTTTCAACGAAAATGTCTAGTGAAGAATTAAATATCAAGAGAAAAATGGCACGACAGAATGGTATTGTGCAACCCTTGTTGACTGGTAAGTAAAATATAATTTATTTTGGAGCGAATTTTAAATGTGAAGTGTACTTTAGAACTTGTAATGTAAAGTGTTGTGTAGACTTTTTTTACTTTAAATTGTTTATACAAAATATTCAAACCATATATTTACCCACCTTTGATTTTATATTCTATATTCAAAACTTTTTATAAAATATTTTAATATGTAAAGTTAGTTAAATATTATTTCTATAATAAAGAAGATAAATGTTGATAAGATCTAAGTCTGCTTATAATTGTAATAGTAGATTGGGACACATTATTGATTAAATAATTGGAAATAATTAAAATATTTAGGAGTTGCAGAGACTAATGAAATCACTTTTTTAACTTTATAATTTAAATGTAAATTTTTTGACCATGAAAATGTGACTGTTTTTGGTATAATATATTTTGTAACAATGAATAGGTGATTAATAATTTATTTGCACTTGTATTTAAATGTGTATTGTTAACCTACACCTGATTTCTGTTTCCCACAGATCTTTATCAAATAACTATGGCCTATGCTTATTGGAAATCTGGAAAAGTCAATGATGTTGCCGTATTTGATTTATTTTTTCGCACAAACCCTTTCCAAGGTGAATTCACCATATTCGCAGGTCTTGAAGAATGTTTGAAGTTTTTAGAAAACTTTCATTATTCTGATAGTGGTATGTACAATTGTTATAATTACATTGCAAATCTATTAATACTTATTCCGTTTATTGTAAATGTTGTTATCTTCTATGCAATGATCTTCCCTTTTGCAGATATTCAATATTTGCAGCAGACTTTACCTGAGAATATTGAGCCTGAATTCTTTGCTTATCTGAAGGACTTAACTTGCAAGGATATAAGAGTGAGTGCTATTGAGGAAGGATCTGTGGTTTTTCCAAGGTAAGGAAAAAATGAGTTTTGTTTCCTTTGTAAAATTAATTATCTGTAATATAAAATATTATTAATTTGCAGTATTTGTTCTCATTGTGCACTTAAATATAGAATGTCTAAAAGTGATGATGCAAAAAAAATATATTGTTCCTTGTGTTTTGTGCTACTCTAAATTTTTAACCAATAATACTTCTTATTATATTCTTCTTATCTCTTCCATGTATTATTTGTATATATGCATAGTATATCATATAATTATTTTAATATTTGTCAGGCTCATTAGACATACTTCCATATTGGTATTATTGGTATTTCTATAGCACAATTTATTGTGTCCATTACATTTTTTGCAATTCAATCAATGTTACGATTATAAAATCTTGAAAATAAACCTTACAATCGTTGTAATTCGAGACATAATAGAAGAACAATGCGTGAACGCCGGCATTCGCTTAGGGTTTGCTGAATTAACTTCTCCAAAACAAGTTGCATTAAAACCTATTGAATATTTCTAATAAACACACACAGTGTATTTTTTCCTAGTCTGAACTTGACTGTTTGAAGTATGATCCCAATTGCGACTGCCGAAAAACATGCCTTTTCGATTGCCGAATCGAGAAAATTCATCCAGTACCTGTAACATTTCGGTTTTGGAAAAAAAAAACATTGGCGTTTGGGATTGAGCCTGGTCAATAGCAGTAAGCCCACCCTCTGCAACTACAATATGGGATCGTTTTTTTCTTCCTGATAAAACCAAAAAGCCACACTATTATATAAAAATGCGACAAGCCCACAAGCAGATACTTAATATATTTTTCGCCATTTACGCGCGTCTAATATCTTAAATTCCTTACTCCGACCAAAATTATAATTTTAAAAGTTACGAAGGTCTTTTATTTGTACTGCTTAATAAGTGGGTATTTCCGGCATGTTTCATTAAGTTACTAAGTATATGTATAATAAATCTCTAATCAGAATAAGAATTCCGTCGATTTTTTTGTTTCAATTTGTCATCGATCTAATAATAGAGATTACATCAGTTGTTTACCATGCATTGCTTTATGACGTTTTGTATCTTGCAGGGTGCCCTTATTAAGAGTTGAAGGACCTTTAATTGTAGCGCAGTTGCTGGAAACCACTTTATTAACTCTCGTCAACTTTGCAAGGTAAGTGACTTCGTATCACTATCAACGACATATTGGAGTAAGGACATCATTATAATAAACTTGTACCCCGATTTTAGATTAAGAATATCAATTAGGAGTGTAAATTGTTTACTTATTGTTTGTTTTTTTTTATCGTATTTGTAACTTTGGAAGTACCTACCTACCAATGTGTCTGCATATTTTATAAGTCGCAACAATATTTTAGGTACGAATTAGTAGGCAGGTTATTGTTAGTTTCAAAACTTATATAAAAAACTGATCTTGTTCTTTATGACAAAATACAATAATAATGAAAAAATCTCCTGAAATCCTGATTAAAGTAGATAGATAGGTTAACCCTGCATATTTTATTAGAATGATTCTTCTACTTATACCTTCTTAGCGCCTACCTGTACCTTATATACCAATGTAGCTGTGTATGTATATGATTTCCCTTTGCGAAGTACTTACACAGGTACCCAAAAGAATTACGTCATTGATTAGATGGTGCTTATCTTTCCATAAATGGCTTTCCTCTATGTACTTAGGTATTGGTAGATATTGGCTATTTTCTCTCCAATATTAGATACAATGTCACACTTATCGGAGTCAGGCATGAATGGCTCTAATAATTGCATAAGTACTGTTTCACACACACTGAATACTCAACGAGTCTTCCACCTACGACGTAGATACCAATCTACCTACCTAATTTTTTGTCGAGTAGTTAAGAGCCTAGATTGTAGTATTTTTGGGTACACGTGCCTTAAAATCCACCAATATAAACGTTTAATGGTACACTTAGGTACCATGCAAATATGCCTTAAAACGGCACCTTTACAAGCCAAATTATATGTAAAAAACTAGATGAAGCCGGCATTTCCTATCTGACTACTCTGAGAAGAAATGCCGAAACAAACTCAAAGCTCAGTCTCTTTTCAAGTCGAGATAATTTAAAAATAATATAATTTGAGAGTACCGTCCAACTTCATTCTTTAGTGGTCTTTTGAGGAAATAACCATACCAGTGGAACCATTCTAAAGACAGGCACGTAAGTGTCAGTATAGCTGATCTGATCAAAAGAACATTTGGGGATTTAAGTAAATTATTTGTAAATAACAACTAGTAACCTGTACTAACGTGGAGGGTCACACGTCGTAAATAATGCGGTTGCTAAATGACAAAATACAATAAAAATCAAATTAGGTTTAATTCTATGACGTGGCTGCGGTTTCAACAATGAATAACGGAACCGGGGAACTTTAGACTAATGCAGTAAGATTTAAGTATCAAATGCATTCACACCTGATGACGTTAAAAATGCATGTATATGCAAATATATAGCTCAAAATAACAAAAAGCAATAAATAGTTAGTACTGATGAAATAACCTATCTAAAACCTCATTAGTTACCTACATCCGATTCCTGAACAACTTAAATATGAAGTACTAGGTTCTTACTTATAAGTTATTTCAACTGCCTTTTGTTGCCTATAAACATAACTAATTTGAGGTCATACTATCAGTCTAGGTGTAGGTACGGTAGTTTTTCTCGTGCTAGTAAAATTCAATACTTGGATCCAAATCTATACTAATATTATAAAGAGGTAAAATTTGTAAGTTTGTATGTAGGGGGTAATCTTTGGAACCGCTGGTCGGATTGTCAAAATTCTTTCACTGATAGATAGCTACCTACATTGTTCCTGAGTGCTATAGGCTATAAAACATCACGCTACGATCAAATGGAACTGAGCAGCGGGTGAAACCGTGCGAGAGTAGCTAGTGTTAAATACGACAATCTTTTACGAAATTTTGTACGAAACCGCAACTTATGGTGTCACACTCACAATATTTCAGCGTCCAGTAAAACATACTTATTACATAAAACTTAGCAAGAAAAGCTCTAAACTATGGTTATTTTTTATTATTTTGTGGTGTTGAAGGAATAAAAATATCAAATTAAATAGCCTGACTATAAAAGATACATTTTTAACGTTTGGACATCTTCATAGATACATTTTCTCTAGAAATTGAGTTCTGTAGAACTGTCACCGACAAAAACCATATCCATATACCTTTTCTCCTTGAAATTATTGCTCTAAGTGCATCTGTTATTTTATAGTAGTTATATTCTATGACGGTTATCTACCAACGTGCTGGCTTTGTCTCCGATTTCAACCTCATTCGATCTCTTCCTGCAGAGTCATTCTGAAGCACTGCAGTTTCATCGTCGTTGAGTCCAATAAACCCAATTAATATGTTTACGTTTTCCAAGGAAATGGAAATAAAGAAATGACTAATTAAGGGACTTTATTTCAGTTTGATGGCAACCAATGCTGCACGGTATCGAATGGTAGCTGGAAAAAATGTGTCTTTACTTGAATTTGGATTGCGGCGAGCTCAAGGACCTGATGGAGGGTTATCGGCGTCAAAGTATGCTTACATAGGTAAATTATATTAACAATATATTGTGTTCTTCTAAGAAAGTTTTATTTGAGACAATGACTGAGGAATAGGCATGTAGTAACTTTTTAGCTATTGTGTTCACACAATAATAAGTAGGGCATAATATAATATTTTAGCATCATGTGTGGGGCGCAAATTAACTTGTCTTTGTGTTATTGATTGTATTAGCGTGTTTGCGCTGCTAAGGCGGCAGGCTAGCGAACTTCGGTGCCTGGTACGAAGCTCGCGGGCACTATTCAAACTTGTGCAATATAAAACACCCTGCCGCGCCATTGACTCATAAGAATCCCGAATAGCGAATATACTTTTCGTTAATAGGTTTAATCAGGCAAGTTTCGCGAACCTTGCCCTTGAATGTCTCACCTGCCTGGTACTCGCGTACTGACTACCAAAGTTTTAAATTGCTTTTAGCTACCCTGCTCGTATTGACGAGGATAGGATTTTGTACTTTGTATAGGTAAACACATGTATTTGACCACCATACCTTTTATATTAGGTACAGAATCAGATATTAACCTCTATATTTGTGGTGTAACATGTGTAACTGCTAGCTTTACCAACACAATTTATACGGAACATACTTCAGTCAAATCACCCAAATAGACCAACCGAAAGTTAACTAAGCCAAGTACAACAGTTCATAGTTAAAATGACTTATAATAGAATATTATTTTTAGGTGGATTCGATGGTACAAGCAATGTATTGGCTGGAAAAATGTTCAATATACCAGTGCGTGGCACTCATGCACATTCATTCGTGACGTCGTTCAGCACCCTGGATGACTTGCACTCAGTCATAATCCGACACGCTGAGACCCAGAACCCATGCAACTTACTCGAGCTGTCGATAGAGTGGCGCAAGCGAGTGTCCGCCGTTATAGACATATCTCCGGAGGAAGCGAGCGACGGAGAACTAGCTGCCCTCATATCGTATGCCCTAGCATTCCCGTCGGGTTTCTTGGCTCTAGTGGATACGTACGATGTCAAGAGGTATAATTTTCAAGGCTTACCGTCACGACACAGGCAGCATAACATGAATGGGCATTCTGGCTACAATAGCAACTGTGGAACCAATGGTACTAGAGTACTCAAATCACCGACTATTCATAGTCCGTATGGATATAGCACGGTCGAACGCACACTGAGGTAAAGATGCAAATAGACAACTCATTGACATTTGGTGTCTGATAAACTTATGTTATTGTTTTGCATTTTCATTTATATTTTAAGTTCTGTGAAGTCTTCATTATTACTTAGTCTTGTTTCGTGTACTGGCCAAAGCCAGAGACTGCAATCATTAACCGACTTCATTTGACATAACTCATTGTTAGGGGGGCATGAAAGACACATAACCGTGGGACGAATGACATGCAAGCACACTTCTAACAACACATTACCGCCGGGATTGTCCGCTGGGAATACTTAACAATCATGGCCGTAGTATACTATTTTATGTTTTTATTTGGCTTTTTCAGTGAAGCGTATGTGGACGGCGCTTCATGTACAACCGAATGTAAATAAATGAGAACACGTCCTACAACAACTTTATATTTGCTTCAGTGTGACGTACTGTCGTGCCCTATATGCAAGTTTAGGGGCAATCTTAGTCATTGGGCACAGTTGCATTGTATAGGGATATGCACACGTTCACAGTATCCAAGCCGGTATTGCATGTATAGCTACCATCATGCACCTTATCTAAATATAGTAAGAAGTTATTGAACATTTTATTTATATTTTTATTTACTTATAAGTATGTATGTTCGTCGGCGTAGTAAACAGATTGTACCTACGAGTAGTATTCACTAGTCACTCAGTTGATTGTACGGCTACGTAATCGCAGATGACTTCATACAGCATTACCTTTAACACATCCACAAGACGTTGAACTACATACAGTGTAACGATATGTAGGTACTTGATGATACTAAGTATATATTTATTTAGCAGTCACAAAGATTGATTTATATGTCAGCACGCCCTGTAACAGATAGGTAACAAAAGTAGGTACTCTTAATGTCATGCTGGTCTGTATGTAATAAGTAGTATTGAACTAATGTTTCTTAACAGGAGTGGTCTGCTAAACTTCTGTGCCGTGGCGCTAGCGCTAAACGATTGTGGCTACCGAGCGGGTGGTATCCGTATCGACAGCGGTGATCTGGCTTACTTGTCTGTCCTAGCACGCGAGACCTTTGAGAGCATTGCTGAAGCTTTCAAACTACCTTGGTTCTCTAAACTAACCATTGTAGCCTCTAACGACATTAATGAAGAAACAATACTTAGCTTGAACGAACAAGGACACAAAATCGATACGTTCGGGATTGGGACACACCTAGGTATTGTCCATGTTTTTTTTTTCTATGTTTTCGCATAATTACTCATACGTTGTTTTTTATGAATTTTTCCCTGTGTTTGTCGAGTCTATTCACAATACCAACAATGACTATAATTTCCGGAAATACACGATTTATTCATTATGTTACATTGTACTAAGTAGCGCTACTTTTTACTCTTGACTGCTATGACTCGAACAAGATTGCTCAAGGAAACGACAATTTATTTAAATTACTTTGATCTCAAGTGTATGTTTGTTTTTCTAGTAACATGTCAGCGTCAACCAGCACTAGGTTGTGTCTATAAGCTGACGGAGATAAACGGACAGCCCCGCATCAAACTGAGTCAAGATGTAGGGAAAGTGACGATTCCAGGTCACAAAGAGGTACGTTGATGGTATACTAAACATTAATTAATGGAAGATTTTCATTTGTCGAGGTCGTTGTGTCACCCGTATTAAATACTCTCGCTCAATGTTTATTACTGCGATAATGAGTACAAGCCTATTACTAAGTTTGTGTGCGACCGACGAAAACAAATAGCTATCTTGATAAATTGAATGTTTACTGAAGTTAGCCATAAACTACTGACTACACTGAACTTTTAACTCGTGTCGTGACCATAAATCATTGTAATTGTCTCGACACCGAATATTATCGCTGCATATAGTCCTAAGTAATATGTTTGGAACTAGGTATTTATTTGGAAATCGATAAACCTATGATTCGTATCTCTATGAGATTAGGTAGGTAAATGACAGTAAGAAACGGAATATCGTATAACGTACGACCCTGAACCGATGCGTGTTATCAAAGAGAAAAATATACGATTGTCATGAATATGTATAGATATAGCTATAGCGTGTATTACAATATCTTCGAACACAAGGTCTTGTGAATTACGAATACTTTGTCGCTTTATCGATTGTTCAACGACTGCACTATTTACCATCGATTTAATGCTCAATGTATACTACTGCTTTTTCTAAACGTTTATGGGTGTTTGAAAGGCAATATAGATAGCATTGTTTCGTTATACTCCGACCTAGAATATAAATATTTTATTATGCGCAAATAGTTATATTAAGATTGACTGCACGGTTGGTGCGGTGGCTGGGCAACTGGCTGCCGTGCAACGTGTCGCGGGTTCGATTCCCGCACGGAACAACTCTTTGTGTGATCCACAAATTGTTGTTCCGGGTCTGGGTGTTATGTGTATGTGAAATTGTATGTTTGTAAGCGCGCCCACGACACAGGAGAAAATCCTAATGTGGGGCAACGTTTAGAAAAAAAAAAAAAAAAAAAAAAAAAAAAAGATGAAAATGGTAGATAGAGGTGCCTAAATAATGGTAGCGATATACTTATAATACTTATCTACATAGGTTTAACCTAACTTAGACATTTATCTACTTGTATATTTTATAATAACATTTTTTTTTCAACAATATAAATAAAAAATTTACCTCTTCTGACTAGAAACATATTAATTTTGGTACATATCTATTAGTATTAAGTACATGTGCAACTATGGCACTTACAGCTTGTTAATTTATGGGTAAACTGCTCTTTTCGCATCTTTCTGTTATACAAAATCCAATATAGATAAGTACTAAATACTTATTTAAATATTTACATAAATTTTAATAGGTTTTTATGTTTTTGTTTTTTTATTTACTTACTTATATGTCATATTTACATAATAATATATTCGTATATTGAGCATCAACCTTGTAAATAATAAGGAGGTTTATTATGTACCTAATTGAGGTAATATCGTCATTATTATATTTGGTACTCACGCACCTTTTAATTACGTATAATATCCACAATCTTTTTTATCATTTTATTACTTCGTTAAATATGCAGTCATGAGATTATGAAATACAGGTGGAACTGATTATGTTGTCACGATTATTTCAGGCGTACAGACTATTCGGTGCTGACGGGCATGCACTGATTGACTTGCTGCAACGGTCCTCGGAGCCGGCGCCAGAAGTCGGCCAGAAAGTACTCTGTAGGCATCCTTTCCAAGAGTCCAAGAGAGCCTACGTGATTCCTAGCAAAGTAGAACATTTATATAAGGTAACTGCATGATTTAGTGGGGTGGTTTCCTCGGCCAAAAAAATATCAATTTTTCAATACAAATATTCAAAAATAGTACTTCGTTAATGAATTTAACGATATAGTTAATTTTAGACTTTTATTGGTTACATTTTAAGAAAAATGTATGCAAATACCGTATGACGACTTTCATATATATTTTGCACTTGCACTCAGTTTCTTGGTATTTACCCTATGATGCTACTATTCTATTGAACGACTCAATGTTTATGTTTAAGTTAACAAGTTCATTGTATGTATGTTTGCAAATAAAATATTCTATTGTTATGGCATACCTATATTTAAGTATGAAAATGTGAATGTGTAACAGTCACACATAACAACAAAAATTAACATGTAGGTGAGTGTCAAACTGCATAGTCATCATGCCATCATCTACAAATATACAGAGTATGTATGGTATAACCAGTTCCATTTACCCTTTGAGGCCCAGCATTCAATAAAATGGTTTCGTGCTAAGCAATAATTGAATTCAATTTAAGGCTTGTTTACAAGATAGGTACCATAATAATATGTATTGTTTAAATTTAGACCATGAAAAACGAAGTATTGCGTCACTTAATTGTAATGAAGCTTTAATGTGGTTCACATACTATTCCAATAAATTACACCAAAAAAGTGGAAGTTAAAAACAATAACACGCTATGGCATTAAGTATACACAATTTGTGTATACGCAGTGCATAAATATATAAATCCAACTTTATTTAAATATTACAGGTATACTGGAAGGATGGCATTATCCACACGATGCCGAAACCATTGCACGAGGTCCGCCAGCGAGTCCAATCCTCACTGAAAACTTTGCGGCAAGATATCAAGAGAAACTTAAACCCTACGCCTTACAAGGTTTGTAAAAAATTAACGACCCAAACATTATCCAATTCCAATCATAGGCAGAGCTCATTGCAAATTTTATGTCTTCAATTTCAAAGTTTAAAACTATGATTTGTATTTAAAAAAACTTAGGTAATATAAATGGTTTTACACGCTGTTTAACTGTTAAAAATAATGTTGTATAAAATAGCTACCGCTGTGTAGTTATTAATTCAGCATATTTTTATGGGAGAGGTCAGCAAACTAGCAAAGGGTTACACCTATTGGTAACCGATAATCATGGACACCTGCAACACCAAAAGAATAACAAATGTGTTGCCGGACTTTTTTAGTTGCATTGATCGAAATACCATTAATGTAAAGGAGAAAAATAAGTAAAAATCTTATAGCTTTCTGGAAATACCCCTCCCTAAAACAAAGGTGTATATTACATTCATAAATTAAAAACATACCAACATGTACCAGTAACAGTTTATAAATCACATCAAACAAAGATTTATTAAGTCTTATTATCTTTATTTACGTTAAAAATGTTCGTCGTAAAAACTGTAATCCTAGACATCTAGATCTGATTTATATGATTTAGCTATACGTTATTAATGAAAAAAAAAAAGATTTATATCTGATAATAAATAATAGTCTAAGCTAAATTAAAAATACTGTTTTATCTGCTAATTTATTATTCATAGAACACTATGGTGCAATGTGCATTAAGTAGCTTATTATCTTATCTAATGAAATATTGTAAGGTTACCTACTTCTAGTATAATACACATTCAGTGTACAGACAGATCACACTTATCATAATTGCATACTATGTTACTTATATGGCAATATGATACAGTTTATAATTAATTAATGAGAACAACGCGACCACGCGACTATAAGAATGTGTGTCAGTTGAGTTGATTATATTCAATTGAAGTATAGCTATAGTTAGTTATAGCAAGAAAAAATTACAACTCTACCTTGAATTAGTTCTGTTGGGATAAACAATAAGCTACCTATTAAAAATCAGCCCTAAGTAAAATGAACACAGTGGATACGGATATTTTTACTATATAAAGAGTTAGAAACATTATATTTATTAGTACTAACTACTAATTGTGCTATGTTATGTTTGCAGGTGGCAGTCAGTGATGACTTGTACAATTTCATCCATGACTTGTGGCTCCAAAACGCACCCATCGGAGAATTGTCATGAAAGGAATGAAATAAAAGTTAGTACATATATCACACATGCACTACAAGAAGAAAATCAAGAGCTTGGTAAATCTTCTCTAAGAAAGAAAACAACGAAAAACTTCACGTGGTAGTAATAGGACTATTTATATGAAGTGCAACTTTTAATATTATTATGATTGTTTTTATATTAAATATTATAATATTACATAGGTAATAGATACACATATTGCGAAAAGAAAATCTTGCATGTTCGTTCTATATATAAGTGACTAGAGATACGGAAACTTAAGTCACAAATATATAAAGTATTAGTGTTTTAGCACCACAACGTATTCCTGTGCAATCTAAATAAGTGTATGGTATAATAAGTTTTTATCAAAAGTATATGTGGTACCTACATGTGAAATAGGAAAAGATTTAATTATTTACTTTAAGTCGGGATCAATATATTTACTGTTACGTACATAGAACATTGCCTATTTAATCGAAGTATTTTATAATATTTACAACGGAATCCTACACATTTTGTCTAGAATAATACCATTTGGTTTGAAGGATAAGCTTAAGTAAGCTAAGAAAAAAATTCTGCTTAGAAAAAAAAAACTAAATGTAACATTGTGTACAATGTGCGCAAAAGCTTGTGCTTTATTTCTTCAGCTAAGTATTATTAACAGAATTCGATAAGTTTCTGTAAAATAATAGAGTAATTAAATTAGAGCAACTTTTTCTAATTCCATGATTGTTCCTATACTAGTCAAAAAGTTCAATATAATGATTTTTATTCATTGAAATATCTTTAAAATTCTGTTTTTCCAAAATTTTATGTTGTTTTAGAATGTTTGTTTCAAATATTGTTGCATTCCTTAACTTTGGATCTAAAAGCTTAAACCAAAGTCAATGTTGCCATTTGAAGACGGTAAAGACTTAGAAATACATGTAATATGTATCATAGCCCCTTGTCATTTGTACAACAAACAAATACCCATTGTTAGTGCAAGTAGTAATAGATATCTTCATAACATTCACAGTGCAGTAGCCTTTATAGATTTAGTTAAGTTTTGACGAGAGATATAGAAACGTTTTGTACAAATTATGTATTTATTACAAACAAAACATAGTGCATTTAGTTCACCTTTTAGATAGATCGAAGGAACGTGATATTAGGTTATTGATTTGATCGTTATTTTATTGGTAGCAGCAACTTATTGTGATGGTACGATTATTACAATGTTTTCATTAAAAATCAAACACCTTTGAAACAATAAGTAATAAATATCATGGCTCTTTCTGAAACATTTTACAAGGTAAAATTTATGAGCAATCAAGACAGAAGTTAAACATACTTGCAATAATAGCTCGTTATTGTCGATATTTATCAACGGTATAATATGAATATATATTTATGGTATTGTTATAAGAATTAGATTGCCTTTATTGTAACTTTAAGTAGTTTTACAAAATTAACTTCAACAAATAACTGAAATTCGACAATTCAGAATTGTTGAATTAGGCTTTAGTGTCAATGTGTTGCAGCTAGCATTTGTAAATATAAACCTGACTTTAACTTGCTGGGATGTAAAAGAATATCAGCATTATGTGCATAGAACACAGAATTTTAACATATAAAATAAAGTTTGCACTAAACCACAATATTTGTTGTTGACCAGTACAATGTAACATTGGATGAATAATTATAAAATATGAAAAAGAATTGCCGAAAATATTATTTTATTGCATAAAGATATTGCCCTCTATATGTGGTGTGGAGCTAATAATGTTTAAGTATGGATTTTAATTTTATTCTCATATTTACATTTGATTTTAACAAATATTTTGTAAATAAACTTTGAACAACCTTATATAACAACATGGTTCATAAGAAATCAACGGGGCATCATTATATATCGAAAATTCGATTTTTATCTATACTTACAATACCAAATTTACTTTTATATTTTTCAAGTATCTATTGATTAATCCCAAGAAACTAATGTTATATACTTTTATATAATCTACTATAACTATATATTTATCTATATAGTAATCCGGTAGTGTTCCAACTAGTCAAAATCAATATTTTTATTGAATTGTCAAAAACTATACCAATCTATAATTATTGCAAATTGCAAATAATTTATTTTTAACCTAGAAAACTACCAATTATTTTAAAAGACGATGTTAGGTTTTAGTTGTCTAATTTCAGACAAAAAATGTTTCATATAATATTTATATATTTTAAATAATATTCATGATTATTATTGTAATTTTTCTTGCACTCCGTCCACAGTTAAGAGGACATTTTGCAAAAAATTTAAGATAGAAATATGTAGCATCGCATAATTCCGTATTTTAAGTGTAAGAGTGCTCTTATGTTTAGCTATAAGAACACAGTTTTATTGTTTTTTTATGAATTTTACCTTTTGTCGCGTGTTCTACTTTCGAATATGAAGTATCAAAAAAATCAAGTACATACATGGTTATTGTTACGGTAGGCGCTATCCCTTGAATCCATTCTATGTAGGTTAGCACGAGCACTGACCTGTTCAGTGTTTATTGTGCCTTTAAACTTAGCTACATAAGTAAACACATTTTTTATTATTTATAAAGTATATTTTAGAATTTTGCTTTTACCTACTTACATACTACATCTAGTTAAAATGGGTGAAAATGAATGTTAATAAATATCTTACTTTTATAATGACTTTTTTAATTATACAAAACCTGCGATCAACCTTCAATCTATTACAATATAAATATAATAACGAAGTATTTCACGCCTATCCTCTGTCTAAGCGGTCTTTTGGGCCGCACAATTGTTGCACAGCTGACAGTTGTCATCGTGATCGTGATTGGAAACGAAGCGTTGTTGCAGACTTTAATTTAAAAATGAGGCATTTTAGGAACTCGCGCTGCGTAATGGACTACGGCGGTATCATGCGAACACATCATGACGCTGAAAATGACTGCAGAAAGGGTATGGGAGATCACATCTTATATTCTTTCACGACTCATTAACTGTTTTATTTTGAACTCTGTGCAATTTTCATGTCTACAAGTTGTGACACTACTTTTCGGGGTTGAAGGAGAAAGCATTTTCTTATTTCGAGTGCTTACGTGTGAAATGGGTGTACTTAGGAGTTAGGACTGAACACCCGGTTTCCGAAAGGCTGATCAATGGTAAAATCAATTTAATCTGTTGCCAAGTCATCTGATTGGTTGACTGAATTATCAACAACCAATCAGATGACTTGACAAGAGATTTGACAGGAGCCTTTCAGAAACCGGGTGTGACATTCCCTTTTTTTTGTCTTCGTTTTATCCAGACGAGACGATTTTCAACCTTAGCATAGGCACTATCCGAAAAGTTTCTATTGTTTGCTTTCAATCAGGTGATGCGACTAGCGACTATCCGTTATCCACCATACCTCATGAAAAATTATCTTAGTACCCTTACCGACTTATCATGCTGCCCAATAAAATGTACCTAAATGATATTTTTTTTAGTGTCGAATAATGCCAGCCCACCACATCCAAAATAAACGGCGTGATCTTCAACTACTTTATAAAGTTCAAGCTTTTGTTAAATAACTTAGCATCTAGCATCATCAAGTACATAGGTACCAAGCCTAGTGATCTATAGTAATGATTTCGATGACTGATAACTGATAACTCCTTCCTTATCTTTTACCTGTAGGTACCTTAACTATATCGCGTAACTCAATTATCATAATATTTATCATAAAAGCTTTGATGTCTTATAAAACAAGATATTTTATTGGGCGCCCTTAGGAAACAAGATATTATTGTAAAAGCTAATTCTTTTTCCGCAGAAGCTAATTTGTAAACTTGTATGTATATATAGGTAATAGGTACGTAGATACATATTTTTCTGTTCTAATAATTGTTATAAATATTTTCATTTTATTTCATTATACTTGACCAACATTTATTGCTACGCTACGATTGACTAAAAAAACTAGTAAGATTAATAATCTTTAACTTTAATAATCTGTGGTGTGCACAAATGTTTCCTTCGTGTAACTGTGGTTAATGCCGATTTTGTTGTAGCCATTAATCTGACAAATAACCTAAAAAGACTGAATTTTATATTATTTTATACGTAAACAATAAGTGAGTTAATAAACATTCGAGCAGTCATATCAGTAATCAGTCAGGAAAACGAGATAACGCTAGTAAGTAAATAAATATCTTTATCTATTTGTTACTTTGTGTGTATCTTACATTATTTGTTACACGCCTACTGCAGATAAGCTTCGCCGAGTCATTATTAAATTATTATAACGACTATTTATCCATTTTTCTGATATTCACAAAATTTCCGTAGGCTTTTGATGCAGGATAGTGAAAGCTAGATCAATTAATTAAGAGGACATCTACCTTTACATTCAAATAGACCTTAGATTCGCTAGACGTAATTTTTAATTCTAACTGTACTTGTCACAGGATATATCTACTTAAGGCAATAACAAAGAGCTTAGCATATCAGTTCCAAATACAACAAACATCATGCCTTTTAATCTAATATGATGACTTGATTCTACTTATTACATATCTAAAATCAAATTAAAAAACACTGGAGCTTAAGTAATACAGCTCCTATGTATTTCAATACTCCCAGATTTTATCTGTTCCTACCCACTGACCAACTACTGACTATGGCTAATTGGCTATACGTTGCCATATCATAAATAAGCAAGGACCTATGAATCGTCTAGCTTTCAAAACAGTGCTCAAGTTTATATTTCTAGTTAGTGTTTAAGCTTTCAATAGTGGTAATAAGAGACACAATAGTAAGACAATAGGTGTGTGAATGCCGGTATTCACTTAGGGTTCGCTAAAATTAATCCAACACAAAGAATTTTTCGTTGTATCGAAAAACAAACAAAGCTTAAAATATTAGTATGAATTTATAATCCTTAATATTTTAATATGTGTGGTATTAAACAAATGAGGATATGTGTTATAAAATAATTATCCTATTTATTATTTTTAAAAACATAAATTTGAAAACATTATGAAATGCATGATCCCATTAATAATATCCACTGGTTCTAGTTGTATAAATTTTATATTTTTTATATACCTATTAATAAGCACCCACTTAGAAAATATAACTATCATGATTTTTCTACATCATAGTGCAAATGATAATAATTATTTAGGTATGCTAGACGGTCGGCCCAGAGGTATGTAGAACTCACTAAAATTAACTGCGTCTCTAGTTTATCTCTACATTTATGTGTTGTCACAACAAATATTTCAGTGAGGGCTGATTTTTCAATAGTCAAATAAATGTTATCTGAGAAATAAAACTGGTGTTGTTACTGTCATAAACAAACATTCTGATGCAACAGCATCATAATTATTCCTTAGGTAAATTTTACCTAACCATTGAAAAATCAGCCCTAAGAAAATAATAGAATGTCAGTAAAACTACATACTCAAACATATCATAATGTTATTATTTCATTCCAGAAGATAAGTTTCCGAACTGTATACAAATTAATATCTATGGTAGTTAGCCATCAAACTTCTTGAGCATCTCTCTTGAGTATTAAAATTTAATAACTTTAAGCCCATTTCCATGGGCAAGTCACCCAGGGCACAGAAGTGATTCTTCCAAGTTGGGCAATGACTGAAAAAATTACTTCCACTTCTGAGATGCCATGAGAGACTCAAATTGAGCCTTTATCAATACCACCCAATCAGTAACCTCAAACAATATATCCATCTAGTTATCATTTAATTTACTAGGTAATCGATTTAAATATATAATAGATACACAAAAATATTTATAAACTTGAAAAGGATTGATTGCAATGATATCAAGATTGCAAAGATTACTTTGGGCTCAAGGTGTAATTTATGGACTAGCAGGTCTTATGGCAAAATTTTATGAACAAAAATAAATTGTTTTTGTTGAATGGCTGGAACAATTTGGTTAATTTTGTGTGTGTAAATAAATATATATGGAAGAACCCCTATAGATTATATTAAGCCTTCCTAGAATCAGAAAACGTTGATTAACTTTGAGGCTTGGAGTTCGCGGAGAAAGCTAATCCATGATGCTAATAGGTTGGTCGCGAGTCCGATTTCCGCACGGAACAACAGAGTTGTTTATTGAAAATAGCGACTTACTCTCGTAACATAAATGAAAAAAGACTTCTAGTTTCAATTCACAACGGGTCTCTTATTAATGAGCAGCGTTCGCATACAAGTGCTAATAGTTACATTTTGTCAGCACCTTTATTAAAAGTGACATAATGTCTATATTGTTCTTATTATTAAAAAAAAATCACCTATGTATTAATTTCTTCAGTATTGGCGTGCCATTGAAATACATTTTCATTACAACATTTTAGCGTACCTGCCTATTTACATAATGCCCTTCTTACACCGGCGGTCAGGGTTGGTTATTACTTTTCCCGAGGGTGCCCTAACGTATTCGCTTTTTGAATGCCTATGAAATATGGAACATTTTAAGAATATATTTCCACAACTTTTACATAGCCTTTGTTCATACAGATATACACATACTAATATTACAAAGTGTTTCTTAAAAAAAAGAGTGCGGTACTACGAAGGTCCTTACTATGTGTTTTTACGAGGATTTTAAAGCTTAAATGTTTTTTACCGTTTTCCGTTTGGCGCTTCGCTCCTGTAGTCAAAATAAAAATGAACCTGGATTTAACACTAATAATCTCTCAACATTCAACCTGAAACGGTTGAGACGTAAAAAAATACTCGTATCAATAATAATAGTAAGGATAAAACGAATGGCTCAGATGTTTGGTACCTACGGACTGACGAGGTAGTATAATACATGACTTTACATGCAATGTTTCTCGAATGCTAAATACTAAACTACTAGAATCATAAACAAAGTTCGGAAGTAATGGCTATTGTATTGTTGGAGAGTTATGTTTGAAGCTTCCCACTGCGAGATATTTCTGAACACAAGGTTACCTGAAATTTAGTTAGCAACTTTATAATTATTGCGGACTGTTACTAATTTTGATCTCGTACATTATTTGCGGATGATTGCTGCTTCCTGCTTTATTCTATATTAAATATACTCAAATCTAGATGGAAACAATGTTGTAGGTATGTTAATTCTTCTCTTAATTGTTAGCTCAATTAGAGCCATGCCCTCTATTTTTACAAATACATTACTGAGAATTGATTCGTCTTCTTTAATTGATCGTCTTTATATTCGTGTTGAACTGTAGATAATGATAATACAACTAAAGTAAGTATCTAAAAAAACTAAATATTTTTCTTAATTCATTCTTTCACTATGGTCCTTTTTCCATAATAATTTTCTATTCAGGCATACATCTATATTATCACCAGCATGTGATGAGGTAGTTCGGAGATTAAACTGTCTGCTTTCGTTGGCAGGGTACTTTTTCCTCGTTATATGTATTTTCTAAGATTATTAAGACATCACTGACATACGGCGAAAGTAAAAATTGTAAGAGAACCTATACATCTATGAACTAAAATAAAGGACCTACAATATTGTAACTTAAAACTTTAAACAGTAGAAAAAAATATTTATTGGTGATGACCTCGATCACAAAACAACAAATATTTACACCTTATTGTTTCTGACACCAAGTAGACTGGTTACGGTAAAATTAGAATCAGAATACATAATTTCAGCACGCACTGGTGGCTTTTATCTTTGGCAAAAAATATAAGTGTTTAGAGCTATGTTATGTGGAAGTGGCGCAGGCGCGTTCCGCTGGAAGTGTACTACAGGCAACCAACCGAGAGTCATTAACTTCAGCCAGGACCGCATTGTCTGTAAAATGTAGTGTTCTACCCAAGGCCATTACTGCCACGTCTCTAGGACTACGCTGAGAATTTCATCTCAGCAACGCCAAAAATAAATTTACGGTTTCACTTGTCGAGACATTTAAAGGTACTTGTAATTTTTTTGCTGTTTTATACATGCACTTCTATTATTTTACTCATATGTTTTCTGTTATGCCAGGCAAATGATGCTAATTCGTTTGCCTGACGCAATACACAAACAAAGATTCATGAAATGTGGGGTTCTAATGTCTAAATTTACAATTGGATCGCCGGTTAAATATCAAGGAAATAATAAATAATAAACAATAAAATTAAAAGTTTTAAAGTATTTCGTACGTAGGTACGCATTTTTTAGTTATTGTTAGTTTCACAATCAAGATGAAACAAAAACCAAGAACATGGGATCTCGTCAAATCAAACTATCCTGAAGTCATTAAATCAAATCTAAAAAAGAGAATAGGTTTCAGTTTTGGGTCTCTAAATCCCAAGAGCTGCGTGGCGTCGTCGGGCGCGGATGGCAGGATGCGCCGGGCGGGCGGCGCATCCGCCCTGCGTCAGTACCGTCAGTCGCCCGCCGCCGCGCGCTCGGCTGGCCGCCGACCCTACGTACGCCACCCTTACCGTGCTACTAGTATGGCCTGCGACTTCTATTAACTGAAAATCTTGACTTAATATTACAATGACAAGTTGTTGACAAACTTTGTTGATTTATAAAATGGCATTTTGAAGGAGATATTTAAACGTCTGTTATATTGTTGATAGTTTATCACTTTATGTTTGCAAATGAGATATTTATACTTTAAAACTCTACGCAATAATTATGTTCAAAAGTTGTTGTGCTCGACCGAGTAAGAAAATGAGTAAAAGTAAATCTAAATCAGAAAAAATGGATTCAAATTCTGAATCTGATTCAGAAAATACAAAAAAAAAGTTGCCGGATAACGGAGATAACACTACTCTGGAAAAGCAAGAATTACCACAAACAAATAAAGAATTTATGAAAGACGAAATTAACTTAGGGGAAAGCAAAGAGCAAAAGTCTTCTGAAATGGCAACTGTTCACGAAGATATGGACATTGAAAATAATGAAGATGAGGTACGTAATGATTCTGTCAGTGAATCCGGAGAAGTTGATACTTTAGATCTCGTGCTTCCAAAAAAAGAGTTGACAAGGAAGAGGTACTCTGTGGACTACAAAAGGACTCGCTTGGATTTTAAACGATTTTCTGTAGATTGCCGGCGTGATTCTGCTACTTTGGAAGAATTAGCGCGTCTCGAACAAGAACTCGCGCGGACAAATGTGGACGTGCGCCCTGGGGGTCGACGCAAATCTACGGGTATTCTTAAATCCACAACTAACAGCAGCAACGGAGGGTCAGAACATCGACCCAGCAGCAAACAGGAGTCAGACACAGAGGATGACGAAGTATTTGAGGAAAGTGTTGCCAAAACTGGTGAAAATGAAGGTCCTCGAGACCCACCAGCAACACCGGTAGGACGTGATGAGTTGGCACTAAGGAGACATAGATTTTTTTCGGATCTTGTTTGTGCTGCCCGGGCTGCTGTAGAACATCGTGTTCGCTTTGATCCACTCGGTCCAGTTGTTGCAGATCCAGGTGAGCAAAACTGTTGTGGTCTTAATTGTGAAATTTTATTACAATTTATTCATATAATACTCAGCTACCATGTCAGATTTTGCCAGCGTCTTAAATGGTGCTACCTCGTTGACCGCAAATTCGATTCGAAGGATAAAATCAATTATTTTGGCGGCTACCCAAATTATCTTGCTTCTTACGAACTCAGACATTGATCAATAAATCGAGGACCAAATCAGTTAAACATGTATTTTTAGAGGACGTGAGAATATAATTTGTTGAATAAACACAATACCCAATAATTTATTAAGTACTAAATAGTACATTTTTTTATGATTTTGGACATCACTAGACGAGTAGTACATCACTAGGACTTGAGCAGAGGCAAGAGGTCTCTCCTCAGCAGTCTAGTGATCTCACACGAAGAAGTTTTGAGCATTAATCACCACGCTTGCTCAAGGCGAATTGGTGATTTGAAACTTATAATTAGAAATTGTAAGTCCAGAAGCGTATTATATTGTATACGGCTTACGCTGTTCATTTTCATATTGACATCGTTTTAAGGGATGAATAGAAGAAAACCTTATTTTCATAATAATCAATTATACTTTTCTGTTTATTCAAGAGCAGCCTTGTAAGCGGATATTGGTAGGCGTGCAAAGTCATTCAATTATGGGATGGACCAATTTATTGGTGATAGTCACGGATGAGTTAACTCTTTTATGATATCAATACTGTCGCCGACATGGGTGGTTGTGTCAATTGACACTTCACCTTCATTTGTTACGCATTTGACATTAACAGACAATACCATACTGAAGTACCATTATTATTATTATTAGGTATATGATTTTAAAGCTCGATTTTAGACACAGTAAACCTTGTGACTAGAAAGCTTTGTATGTATTGTTTTTTTTTCACCGCTAGAATATTAGTGAGGACTAGTTAAAACTTTATGTAATACTTAATGAATATGTTTTTAACGTTTTGGTTTTGGATAATTATATATTAGATTTGTTTGTATTTTCGTTTTTTAATGCTATAGAAAGATTTGAAATAAATTGACATATATAGTCGCGGGTAAAAATATACAACTAATTTCAAATAAGTCAATTAATTAGTTGATAATAATATATAACACGGATGTTTAGACTCCCTTCATGAGGTAATTACTTAATGATGACTTAAATATGCCTCTTTTTAAACTAATTATGTCTAACAGGTTAAATTCCGGCCGGAACAAATAGGCTTATCGGATTACACAGTCGTAATGAATTCCACGAAAACTAAAATAAGGTCCAAGTTTTGAAGCTGACATTAACTAGTTGATTTTAGTTTAAACTTTTACTTTATTGTCAAAACCTATAAATAGCTTTTCAGCTTAAGTTAGTTAAATCAGATAACTTAATAGTAAACGCGCCCTTTGGTGTACGCGAGCAATTAATAATCATAAAATGAGAATTGAATGAATGAATTGATTGCTAAAACTTAAATCTTTTAAAGGTATTTTTTTTCTCTCAATGTCTGAAACTTTCCATCGACATAATAATATCAAATAATATCAATTTACATTCGTCGGGTTTTCAAATCTTATGTTTAAAAAAGCTCTTTTATTTATTTGTGAATTTATTTGTCGTATTTGACCTTTAATGTTGAACGAGAAATGTGAACCCATACGGCCCATTCTACCAACAGACATTTGCTCCCTGGGGCCTTGCGTAAAGATTACATAAAATAAAAACATTATGGTGTAAAGAGATGATAAAAGCTATTTACGATAGATTACTTACCTTGGACAAGATAATTTTGTTCCATAATTCATAGATAATGTAAAGTACCTATGTTTATTTTTAATTAGTTGGTTTTAGGCTTGTCTCCTGTCACAAGGGACTTATAAATTTACAGCAAAAATATGAGTTGTATACTGCGCATTACGACCTCACCAACGTCTTTAGGGAAAAGGGCATGTAATATACTGTGTGAGTGTTTTTGTGTAATACGTAGTTGTAAATAAGATAGATAGTACTTTAATTTTTTTGTTGTAAATTGATTTTATAGTCTAGTTACACAGAGCTATAATGGTGCTTTTAAATTGTAGATTATTTTAATTAAATATGGCAGTAAAAATTATCAAATTTCACACATAATCACGTCATCCAAGGAGTGCCCTCTGCTGAGGAAGGTCTAAGTCTCACACGGAGAAGGTTTGAAATCAACAGGCTTACTCAAGGCGAATTGCCGATATATATTATATAGCAAGTATAAGTTGGTTTCTTCACTATGATTTTTATCGTATGTCAGTGATGTGTAAATAATCTAAAAAACAGAAAAAATCATATTAATACTTGCCAGGTTTCGAACCCGCACCTGAAGCGGGCACCTTAACCTCCGGCACACATCATCAAACTTCCTACAAAATTATTAATTTAATTAGATACATTGAAGTCAAGTCTTTTGATATGTAAAGTTAATAATACAATTTGTAATCTTAATTAGATATATAATATCAAAATACATTTATTAAATCGTAAAAGATGTTTGACGTCAAATATACAACCGATGCCAATATTTATGGAAACTAAGCCAAATCCAATCATTGAATATTTGTTTTTATATTACTAAAGTTTTGTAAGCGTAATTTGATCGTTCATAATAGCATTTTATGTAAAGTATTATTGCATGAAGATATCCAATTATTTATTGATCAACTGATGTCTCTACATAAATGTCCTCGATGAATAATTGTTTGTTTCACAAATGAAAACACATTTATAAAGGTATTTTGTTTATATTGATGTTGTTGGTTTAAACAAATGCCTAATGGAAGCTGTAATATATTTCGTAGAGACATATGTATAGATATATACATCACTACTAGTCTACGTGTTTTGCTTAGGTTTTCTTGCATACATTGTACAATGTACGTTAGTACATCTCATCCAACCTTCAGCAAAGGTGGAGTTAAAAATGCACGAGTATTGAACACTAGAGGCCGTACTGTATCGTACTTATGCTGTCATCGTTCATGTGTTGTACGTCACTGCGTAATGAGTGAGTCATAGGCCACAGTTACAGTTCAGTGTCGGTCGGACTCTGCGTTCACTCATAAGAGCAGTAGTTCGGCAATCGTAAAGTTTCTAGAGAACGGTTGGCGGACACCCGCTTAGTTTCTGAATCATCGTCACACATCCGTCCATGTTGATCCCAGCTCCCGTCAGTATACGGCGACGCACGCGCATGTTTACACGCCTTGTGCCTTTACTAACAGTGCATGAAAAACAACGGTTTAGTGCTCTGAAAGTGTTTACTGCTGTGATTGCAATTGGTTGCTAAACGGATCACACTTATTAGAAGTTGGTAAGGAGCTTTATTTTTCAACGATTTACCGGGTGTTGGAGTTTTGCATACATTTTAGTACTATGCAAAATAAAATGCGGTAATATTGTTAGTGTAGCTGTTGGTTCTGGATAAGTAATAATAAGTGTATGTTTTCCTGTATATGTAATGTGAGCTTATCACTGTCGTTATTGTATGGAAGTGTCACCGGGCGTCAAACAACACAAGCTATGTCAACGAACTTAATCGTTTTGGTGTGGTCATAATAGGTTTAAGTAGGCGGCCAGCTGTTCCAGCGGCATATTGATAAGGTTGAGCGATACGGGCTTAGCATACAGAATGCAAAACAATTATTTATTTGATACATGATCATATAAGTTTACACTGTTTCCACGGTTTAATTTCGACGCGTATAATTAATTATTTATTTACTAAAGAAGTCATTCGTATCTGCTATTTGGATTTTACCCAGGAAGTTGCTCCATGGTCCGGCAATCGATTCCAGTCGCCATTGTTTGCGATATAACGCTCTGCTCATGTGGAAAATTCATAGTGGGTTAGCTGGCTCAGGTATCTGCTATTCAATTTCATACTGCGGTCGGAAATGCCATTGCAAATATAGAAAAAAGTCTAGTTGAACTAGTTAAATAAAAAGTTTTATGTTTTGGTTTTAAAGATTAACCACGAAAGTAGGTAAGTTATATATTAACTCCCGCCAAAGTGTGATAGTAAACCTCTAAACAAGAAAAGAGCGCATAAGAATTATATAAAATGTATTTTTGATTTGTTTCTGTACGATTCAAAAGGAACAGCCCTGTGACATCTTGGCAGCATCATTAGGTTGCTGTGAAACCCTGAACAGACTGCTTATTTTATTTAAAAGAGATAGATTTCTCAACCGACCCTTCGCGGTCAAAGCTTTTGTTTTTTAATGAAAGGACCTTGATAACGAAAGTAGAAGTACGAAAGCCCTTTTTACCCTGTTTGCAATTTTGCGTCGTCGACGTCCCAAAAAGTTTTTTGAAAGGTAACTTAATTAAAATCAGCCATGTAAAGTATATATAAAATTTCGAGGCATGGGATATCTGCTTAGTTCTATTGAACGCTGTAAAGAAGTTATCTAATTTGAATATAAATGAAGCCAATAGTAGACTCGTAACAGTGTCGTAAATTTTTAAGTAGTTAGTTTGTTTAATTAATTTTGAATTAAGGTATGATCACACTTACAAATTGGTAACTTTAGTTTTTTGTTGATTATAATGTATTTAATGTGAATACCTTGGGTGTTGGTGATCCGAATAAAACGGTCGGATTTGACCAGCTGGCACCTATCCCAAGCGTAATGTAAATATAGACCCGACTATATTGCTGGAAAGCAATATGACATCAGTGTTAGCAATATCTCTCTCCCATTCCATTTCGCTCTTGAAAAATAAACCATTGTAAATTTCAGATGCATTTCATAATCGTGAGATCTCTGCAAGAAACTAGGGTACTGTAAATAATTCGAGTGAGTTCCAACACCCAGCGCCATAGAGGAATGCGCTCATTAAAAATGTATATGAGTATGTCATTTAGTTAGGTAGTGGTTAGGAATGTAGAGCAAGCTAAGAGGTGCCCACTTTCCTTTCTCTCCACCTAGACGTTTCAGGAGTGATGCTCTAGTAGTTCTAAGCACATGTTACACGTAGCCACTGTTTTATATTATGAGAATTATTTAAGAAATACAGATGTTTGTCGTTCTCCGTGTGTTGGTAATTTGGTTTGTTAGTGTCCATGCCAATTATTACTTATAATGATTTTAAACCTTGATCCATGTTCAATACAAGCGTTATGTAGAACAAATGTTCCTTGGGAATGATTGATTCAGTGTCAAGAAGTGTACT